AACCAAATATTTTTATAAAAATGAAAACAATTTTGATAAACTAAATGACAGAACAAATTTATTTTTCTTAAACATTTGGTCCTGGTTTTACTCATTTTATTGTTATTGAACATTTAATCTGCATTTATAAATTTTATATATTTTGATTTTCCTTTTAAATTAATTGCAAGTCTTTATTGAGCAAGTTGTAGAGTCACATGCAATTATAAGAAATAATTCAGAGAAACCTCATATATCCTTTACCCAGTTTCACCCAATAGTAACATCTTGCAAGCTACAGTACAATATCACAGCTAAAATACTGACATTAATAAAATCGACCTAACTTTTTCAGATTTTTTTCAGTTTTACTTGTAATTGTGTGTGTATTTAGTTATATATATAACTTTATTACATGTGTAGTTCCTGTATCCATCACCACAGCCAAGATCTAGAACACAAAGGTTCCTCCTATAATTGTTTTAGTTACACCCTTCTACTTCCCTTCTACCTCCCTTCTACCTCCTCTTACCTCCTCACCCCCTACTTCTACTGCTAATTTCTTCTCCATTTCAAAAATTTTGTCTTTTCAAAAAGTTTATATAAATGGAATAGACTAAGTAAACTTTTCAGGAGTGGAGTTTTTCACTAAGTTGTCGAATGTATGTGTGCAAAGTTGTTTATTGTATTTCTTTATTACACTTTCGATGTCTGTAGGGTCTGTAATGATATCCCATTTCATTCCTGATATTGGTAATTTGTGTCTTCTCTCTTTTGTTCTTATCATTTTTGTTAAAGCTTTATCAATTTTATTGGTATTTTCAAATCGACTCTTCATGTTATTTTCTCTGTTGTTTTTCTGTTGTCAGTTTCATTGATTTCTTCTCTTGTTTTCATTCTTCCTACTTTCTTTTGAGTTTATTATATTCTTTTTTTTTCTTTCGGTTTGACACTTTTCTTTTTTTCCTAATGTACACATCTAGTGCTATAAATTTCCCTTTCAGCACTGCTTACCTCTATCCCACAGATTTTGATATGTTCTATTAATTTTCATTCCATTCAATGTAATTTTTAAAAATTTCCTTTGGGAGTTCCTCTTTGACCCATGAATTATTTAAAAGTGTGTTGTTTACTTTCCAAATGTTTGGAGACTTTTCTACTATTTTTCTGTTACTCATCTCCAGTTTGATTCCACTCTGGTCAGAGAACATACTGTATGATTTCAATTCTTTTCAATTTGTTGAGATATGCTTTATGGTCTAGAATACGATTTATCTTGGAAGATATTCCATGTTACTTAAAAAGTTGTTGGGTGGAGTGTTTCAATATGTCGATTAGATCCTATTGATTAATGGTGTTGTTGAGTTCTATATCCTTGCTGATTTTCTGTTCAGTTGTTCTATTAATTGGAGGGGAGAGGAAGTGAGGGAGAGAGAAAGAGGAGTCAAAATCTTTACTTATAATTGTGGATTTATTTATTTCTCCTTTCAGTTCTATGAATTTTTGCTTTACATATTCCTATTTGGTTTTGTGCTTACACATTTCGAATTTCTATGTCTCTTTGGTGAATTGAGCCTCTTATCATTATATAATGTTCCCCTTTGTCTCAGGTAATTTTCTTTGCTCTGAAGTCTACCTTATCTGAAGTTAATATAACCACACCTACTTTTCTTTGATTAATGTTTGCACGATTGGTCTTTTTTCATCCTTTTACTTTCAACCTGCCTATATTTTTATATTTGAAGTAAGCTTCTTGCAGCCAGCAAATATTTGAATCATGTTTTTAAATTGACATCTTTTTCTCTTAATTGGGGTATTTAGAACATTTACATTTAGCATAATTATTGATATGTTAGGGTCTACGTCTTCTATTTTATATTTTGTTTTCTGTTTTTCATTTTCCTGTTTCCTGTCTTCCTGTAGGTTCCTTGAACATTTTTAAAAATTCTATTTTGCTTTATCCATAGTATTTTGTTTTATTTTATTTTATTTTTATTTTTTAGATGAGGCAACCTTGGTTGACCTCACAGATTGAAGGACCTTGCCAGCTTATAATCTCTTATTTTCTAATTTTTTTTTTATGCCTTTTCCTTTATAAGTAAGGTTAAGACTTTTTTCTGGCTGCTTTCAAAATTTTCTTTGTATTTAGTTTTCAGAATTTTAATAATGATGTGTATTAGCTTGGATTTCTGTGTTTTTTGTTTTTTTTTTTCTTCTTGAATCTGTTGGTTTATGTCTGAAAATTTTGGAGTTTACAGTCACTATTTCTTCAAGTACTTTGTTAACCTTACATTCTTTCTCCTCTCTTTCTGGAGTTCTGATGACATAAATGTTAAATATTTTTGTTATAGTCTTACAGATCCGTTAGTTTCTTGTTTTCAGTGACTTTTCTCTCCTGTTGCTTAGTTTGGGTAATTTCTATTGTTCTATCTTCCAGTTCACAGACTCTTTCCTTTTCCTTTTCCATTCTGCTACTGAGCTTTTTATTCAAAAATTGTATTTTTTTCAATTCTAAAATTTCCTTTTGGTCCTTGTTTTTATATCTTCTATGCCTTTGCTGAGACTATTTTTTCATTTATTTCAAGTGCGTTGATAATTGCTTGTTGAAGCATTTCTATCATGGCTGCTCTAAAATCTTTGTGATATAGCATTTTTGGCATCTTGGCATCTGCAGGTATTGACTGTTCCCCGCCCCCCCCCAAGTGATTTTTGATTGAATCCTGGACATCTTGGGCATTATGTTATGAAATTCTGGTTCTTATTTATATCTCTGGTTTAGCTCTCTTTTTCTGACACCACTCCAGCAGGGGAATGGGGAGCACTGCCTTGTTACTGCCAAGTCGGGGTTACAGTCCAGGTTCTCTACCCGAGGTGGGGACTCTTCATTACTGTTAGGTAGAAATGGGAGTCCTGGTTTCCACCGAGGCCTCCATAGATCCTTTTCTGGCTGGGACAGGTGGAAGTGCCTTGATGTTGCTCCCACCTTGGCCCCCACTGACACCACCAGGGTGGGATGGCCTCTTGATATCTTGGTGGTGGAGAAAGTCCTACTGTCCACCATGCCTCCTCTGACAGCACTCCAGTGGGGAGGGCAAGGGGGAGGGAGCCTTTTTGCTGCTGGGCGGAGGTGGAAGTCAGGTTGTTCAATGGCCTCTAGGAGCTGGATCTCATTACTGCCCCGGGGGCATCAAAATCCCAGCTCCCCAGTTGGCCTTCTCTGACATGGTCTTGGTGGGAAGATTGTGGCACTTCATTACAACCTGCGGAGGGGACAATGTAGGTTCATACTTGGCCTTTGCTTGTGTGAGTAGGAATGGTGTTTGCCTGAGATAAAGCAGTTATTGTCTCGAAGTGTTCTGTCTTGCTAGTTTGCCCCTTTGGCTTGAGAGAAAAAAGGCTTTTGTTGGGGTGGGGTTATTTTTAGTTTGTGTCCATTGGTGTTTCTGGGTTGCTGGCTTCTTCAAGCTCCAAGTCTGGAAATCTGAGGCATGAAGAACACCCAGGAAACTTACCACTTTGTTGTTCCTTGGAATCCAAGGTCCCGAGCTGGTCTGCCTTCTTCTCTCCACCTTTCAGAGTCTCCTTAAGTTTGTTTCATATATAATGTCCAAGGTGTGTAGTTGTATTTATCGAAAGAAATGAGGAAAAGTATATTTATTCCATCTTCCCAGAAGTCCTGATTTTTTTCTTATACATATCAAATGGACAACCCAGCAGGCAATGAAGCAGACCTTCTAGTGTGCTGTATTTAAACAACTCTTGTTGATCTTAAATATTGTGAATCTGGTTCTCTTTAACATTATAATATTATTTACAAACTTCATCAAATACCCCTACATCTACCCATTTAAAATTGTAAGTGTGAAATTCATTTCACTTTTTAAATTGGAATCACCACCTAATGCGTTAGAGTCTCTAAAATGCAAAACTATGTAAACATTACAAGGACCTTTAATGACAGACATAAACTGGATATTATAAAACTCACATTAAACATGGAGAGAATAGCTTGTCACCTCAAGCTAGTACCTGGGTAGACAGTTCAGTGCCTGTGTTACCATCTCGGACAGGTTGAGGTGGCTTAGAGTGAGGAGATGTGACACTGGGACAAAGACTCCAGAGCTGCAGGTGCCCACAGGTACACTGGGCTGCAATTTAGGGTCACTATGGCAGCAGGGGCCTTTAGTTCCTTCCCTTCAGACGGGACTGTTTGCAACCCCATGTCCCTTGCACTCAACCTTTTCATAATCTTTCAATCATATCTCCTGTTTTAGGTCAAAGTCTACAATGCACATCTAGCATGCTTCTCTAACTGACCAATTCATCTAATTTATCGAATTCCCGACTTCTGTGTCTGGCTACTGGCCACAGTGTCAAAGCAATTCTAATGCCATTCTAAAGATGGAAAATCTTAATTTTGATTTGTTTAGGAGTATGGATATGGCAGTGAGGTGAGATCTGGATTTGAGCGATTTGCAGATCTTCCCTTAGTAGCTGGGTGCCCTTGGTGAAACCTCAGGTTATTGTCCTACGATAAGGGTAACAATCTTCATTCGAAGGGGCTGCTGCAAAGCTTAAATATGTGCAGTTTATATGGCAAGCTTTATGTAAATGGTAGTTATCTTCATTTTCACAAGCTTTTCCTCCATGCCACTGGTTTGTTTTCAGCATCGTTGGCTCTCGTTTTTGCTGCTTCTATGATGAACATGATTGCCTCTTTTATATCTTTTTGTGGCTCTGATAGTTCTCTTTCATCTCAGTCTGTTGGTTTATCTGTTGTGATGTGGAAATCAGGTTTACTTTGATATCCTTGGGAATGCGAAGTAGCTATTAACTGAAATTTTCTTCTTTTTCCCCAAGAGAATATTCCAATACACTCTTATCCTCTCTTTCTTGCTATGCTTTTTCCTTTTATTTTGCTGTAGAAATTCTGCATATGCTTTGTACTGATTTTTGTTCTAGTTACTCTTCTCTGAATGGGGACCATTCTATCCTCGCCTGCTATTTGTCCTCAAATAGTGTGGATAGATGTGCTTTGATCCCCTTCATCATTTACTAGGCATCCCATAGTGGAGGTCTGAGTGCTGACACTTCTTTTCTGTTCAGCCTCAGAATTACTTGAAGAAGCAGTGGTGGAAACTGGGTTCATGGGCAGCCTTCCTCTGAGAGCTTTGTTTCTGAATGTGTTGAACTCCTCTATTAAGGACCAGCTCTAAAGAGGTGGGGCGTGCTTGTTTCCTGAGTTTTTGGTTTGTCCCTCTGTTTTGGGGAGAGATGGCCACTTCGTTGAGGAGGTTGAGCCTTTGTTTTCTGAGTCAGCATGCATATTTCTTCCAGGCTGTATCCGGTCCATAGCTGCTAAGAGGGTTTGTCTCCTAGCCTCACACCTCCCAGTCAGGGAAGCTGGTCAGAAAAAACGGTGCAGGTGTGCCGTCACCCAGCACTCTCTCAGGCCTGCTCCTACTTCAGTTAAGGCAGCATGAATGTGGGTGGGGCTGGCGGAATCAGAACCCAAATGGGTGTCCCTGTTCTTCCTGCTGCCTTCTCACCCTTTGCCCCACAGAAGCTGGATGCATCTCCAGGCTAAAAGCTGGGGGCAGGGGATCCGTCGGGCCTTCAGAATCTTCTCTCACAATTAGTCCTCCCCACACCCAAAAGGCTCATGACTTCGCTTCCTCAGTTCTCTTTGCATTTAGTCCCGTCTTTAGTTTTTTTATTCTTAAAAAAAAAAAAAAACCAGTCCTCCCCACACCCAAAAGGCTCATGACTTCACTTCCTCAGTTGTCTTTGCATTTAGTCCCGTCTTTAGTCTTTTTATTCTTAAAAAAAAAAAAAAAAACCATTGGAAAGATAATTTTCATAAATATGATATAATACTACCACCTTTTAAAGAAATACTGTAGGAAAAAATTGCAAGAAAGCAAATGCATCTTAATTTTTCTCCATTTTTCTCTTAGGCATTTTCTCTCATCGGCCTTTGGAGGTACGCTGTCCCTCTGACCTTGTCCATATCCTACTGCAGGGCCTTTCAGACTGTCCCACTTCTGTACCAAAACTTTGGTTTTAAAGACCGTTAGCTCAGGACCCTGCGTGGCTCTGGGCTTCTGCATTCAGGATGATCAAGGGCTTACGTTTCAGCATCTTTCAGGGAACATGAGAATTTCAACTCTGGTCTTCTAGATTACTGGAGCCCATCTCGTAGGCTGTCCCATGGCAAGAATTTCAAGCCCTATTTAAGATGGGTGCTGGACTTTTTTCTGAACGTAGCAAGGTAGTATAATTTGATGGCCTGCAAATCACTATGCTAGTGACTTTCCCATGCTGTTACCCACAAGACTAGTACACCTTGTCAGCGACCCCTTGGTGTGGGTTGGACCTCTTCGCAGGTTCCATCAATGAGGGCCAACGAAGGGCAGTGATTCGCAAAAGGTGGAGAAATACATTCTTTAGAGCTGGTCCGTGATAGAGGAGTTGAACACATTCAAAAACAAAGCTCTCAGAGGAAGGCTGTCCATGAACACAGTTTTCGCCAGAGCTTCTTCAGGTAATTCAGAGTGTCCAAAAACTACCTTTCTCTTTATTCCCTAGAGAAGAAGACAACGAACCGGAAAGTCAGGTACCCGCGCAATCTAGTATATAGGTGCCACTCAAAAGTGTTGTCTGGATTTAACTGATCCTAGGACACAGTGTGCGCTCACGGGCAAAAAAAACCTCAATTACACGCCCCTCAGCCATTTTTGCGATGCCTCCCCCGGGCCGCGCGGGGGCGCTGCGGCTCCGCGAAGGCCCGGACGGTGGTCAGGCGCGACGGGGCGCGAAGGGGCGCACAGGCTTCTGGGGAACCTCGGGGCGGCGACTGCGCGCTGGGTGGTCGCGGTGAGTGCGGTGAACCGGCCGGGGGCAGGTCACCTCTCTCGGGGCCGGCTCGCACCCTCCGTCCTCTAGCTCCCGAACAGCGGAGGGCCAGCTGCGCCTGCCGAGCAGGCCCGAGGCGGCCCCCGCCTCCCCGACTCCGCACCAGGGCCGAGAGTCCCGAGGCCGGGGCAGCGCACGGAACACGGGCATGAGCGCCCTGCAGCATCCCGCCGTGGTGCGGGGGCAGCGCGCTGAGGCCCGGGCGTGGAGCCCCTCCCGTGCCCCGCTGCTGCCGTGCCCCGCTGCTGCCGTGCCTGGGGACCTGGGCTCGTCCCTTCCCCATCTCTGAGCCTGCTTCTCTCTTGTCAGAAGAGAGACGTGGGCCACGATGTCTCTGAGTCCCTTGCAGCACCGACACTGCGGGGCTGGGGTGGCTCGAGAGGTTCGTTCTCTGACCCGGGCCTTGGCCGTCTGCCCTACAGGCTCTTCCACCTGTCACCCTGGCCCTTCTCTGCTTGGACGGTGTCTTCCTCTCCCCGACCGAGAATGACTTTGTGCACCAGGTCCAGGAGGAGCTGGACCGCTTCTTGCTGCAGAAGCAGCTGTCAAAGTAAGCTGGGACGAGGATGGTGGAGGGGCACGCCCTGCAGCTAGGAAGGACAGGGTGCACCCGGTCCCCTCTGCCCCTTTCCCCAGTGGTGCATCCAGGGTCACTGGCCTGCAGCTGGCTCTGACCTTGGCCTTTAGGTTTAACAATCTGCCCTCTGGCTTCTCCCGGCTACATTTTTTCCTGTATAATTCTGAGCACCACCCTACAACTGAAGGGGCGCCAGGGGCTGCACGTGGAGTCCCTGCTCAGCGCTCCTTCCCGTCCCTTCGCAGGGTACTTCTTTTCCCCCCACTCTCCAGTCGCCTGCGGTACCTGATCCATAGAACAGCAGAGAATTTTGATCTTTTGAGCAGCTTCTCTGTTGGGGAGGGCTGGAAGAGGAGGACGGTCATCTGTCACCTGGATGTCAGGTGTGTATCCTTCCACCTTGGAAGGCCCTGTGCGGTTCCTTGTGGTGGGTGAGTGAGTTGGCCAGCCCCTGGGAGGGGAGAGCTTGTCAGGGAACCAGGGCCAGGAACCCCCCAGGCTGCTGACTC